TATTTTTTTTTTATCATAAGAATATTAATTAAAGATCCTATATATATATATATATATATAAATGTAACATTTTATTGGTAATATGACTTACTAAAAATATAATTTCTTCAAGTTTAAAAGGATTTGCATAATATTTGCATTCAGTTTAAAACTCTCAGTCCACAGATTTTTAAATAGTTGTATCTCGGCCAAATATTGTTCTATCTGAACACAAACCATACATAAATGGAAACCTTATTTGTTTCCAAAAATTTACCTTCATGACTATTATGGTTTTGCGGCCCATGGTCACATTTGAACAAAATTAACTATATTTCTCAAAACTGTCATTCTTGTTTATGTATGAATAACAATCCAATTGTTTTGTGTTGATGGCTTGACTGAAGGCTCTACTTACTGCGTATTGCCCACTTTTCAGGTTTGTCATTGCCCAAAGGCTAAAGTCCGTGAATCTGGCATTTTTCTGATCTATGCTTACAAGGCCCGTCACCCCTGTGGAGAAACAAAGACCAGTTCAGGGATCAAAATAACATTTCTATCTTAGTGTTGCTCTTAAAGCTATAAAGCAAAAGAGTCATATATTGTCTCTACTTTGCTAGCCAACAATAACATTTAATACATGGAAAAAAATAATGAAAGGTAGTGCTTTCAGTTCTTTAAATTTCCAAAAGATCACATTTGTTTTACATTTGAACTGTGCCATTTCTTTTTTTTTTTTTTTTAATACGCAACATATATAGGATAATGAGATACCCTAGAAATGGTTGTGCATGAAAATTCCAGTAGATTAGCAGTTTCTAAAATACTCAGACCAGCCTGTCTGGCACAAAGAACCATGGCACGTTCAAAGTCACTTAAATCATGTTTCTTCCCCATTCTGATGCTCAGTTTGAACTGCAGCATTGTCTTGACCATGTCTACATGCCTAAATGCATTGAGTTGCTGCCATGTGATTGGCTGATTAAAAATTTGCATTAACGAGCATTTGGAAAGGTGTACCTAATAAAGTGGCATTTCAATAATTCAAACATTTCAATAATACGGTCCCATTCAAATTAAATTGTGACAAGGGCAGCATTATACTGGAAAAATTTGCAACATGTAATATCGTTGTTGAATATTGGGATAACGTTATTTAATACGATATACAATTTTCAGAGAAAAATGCTGTTTTTATTATATATTTTTTACAATTATTTATTTATTTAAAGATGTAAAAAAAACAGGTAAAATATATTTTCAAATCAAGTTAATCATAATTAAAACAACAACAAAAAACTCTGTCACAGGGTATGCAGGAATCCTAAACATAATTTCAATACCTTTTAAGACTTTTTAAAGACCTTCTCAGAATATCATCGCCACTTTAAGTTCTAATCAGTATCAAACCTTTAACTTAAACAGTTGTTAATAAAAAGCTGTATTTAAATAAATCAAAGGAGCACAATCATGAAACAGAACTCATATAAGCTTGGAGGAATCAAAGCATGAAAGAATAAATTATGCAGTTGTTTTTAGCCGTTTAAACTCGCCTTTCTTCAACCAGGAGAACACAAACTTACATTTTTTCATTTTGGTGTCTGTTTCACTCCATGGTTTTGCTTCATGTGGATAGTGTCACATCACCTTCCCACATTTGTTGCAAAGAAGTAGCTTTGCTGGATGCGCCCTGGCCTGAACCAATCGCATGGATTGAGCACGCCGTTGTTAATATTAGGATAAAACTATATAAGTGTTTGCTTTTTTGGAGTCAAACATTTAGACAACGCTTGCATAAAATTTAAGACCTAGTAAAAACGAGATTAAGACTCTTTAATACCTTTTAAGACAGTGGTGGGCAAACTCGGTCCTGGAGGGCCTGCACAGGGGTGCGTTTCCCAAACAACAACGGTACTCTTGGCTGAACAATCATAGTACGATGCATCGTTTGGGAAAAGAACTGTGTAGTGAGGAGTGTTTCCCAAAACCTGTAGTTTCTCTGTCGTAGATCCATCGTTTGAACCACGTTAGTTATAACATAAAACGGCCACCATGATGCTCTAAACTAGTTGGAGTAACTACTTATTTAGAGAAAAACCCATAATTATTTGTGCAGATTATATTGTTTTACATGCACATGCATTTAAAATAAAATCCAATATTAGATTTGGTAAAAACATGCACTCGCTTTCCATATTTACTGAAATATATGTAAATTTCACATAGGCCTATGTTTGCTTTACTAATATTATTGAGAAGTTGAACACTACATATTCTATTCTAAAACATATCACTTACAGAAGCTAACACATATTCTAATATCGTATAATCATATAAACAAGTAAATAAATAAGGAGGCTATTTATTATAAAATGAAATTTAATATTCATTATTTATTAGAAATTTAAAAAATCATACTTTAATAATATTATTAATGATGATGAGGATGATGATAATTATCATTATTATTATCATTATTATTATTATTATTATTATTAATAATAATAATAATTTTTATTTGTTTGAAAAGTCTACTTTTACAATTTGACACATGTAAACCAATGCAGAAAGTTCTAACCAGCAGGCTCATGTCATATACAGTACAGGTACATAATAAATAACCTACTATAAATTAAAAGAATTAACATATGCTTTTTGTTTTCACAAGCTTTGGAGACGTAACATAAATTCCGCTTGTAAATAATAGGTCACCTATAGCTTTCGCCATGAGGCTGTGATTAAAGTGACATCAATGTTTTCAAAAAGTGCACTGCGAAGGAAGCACAACTGTAAACATGACGATCGCTAAAACTGAACTGTAAAAATATTTTAAAAGCAAATTACACCTAAAAGAGATGACCTAATTTTCTCAAATTGATTTATTAACTTTTAATAGTTTTAAAGACCCCGCAGACACCCTGTGTCAGGGTGCAAACATTTATTCTTTAAAACACTTTGACTGAGTGAAAATCTCAGCATATATTCTGTCTATTTATTTTCAGCTCTGGGTTTACTCCAACCAGTAGCAGGACAGCAACTATTGGGCAGGTGAGAATAAAGATAGTAATAATAACCCCCATCTGATTGGTCAAATTTAGATAAACAATCAATTCATTGTCTGCAATGTGTATATTGCCTTTTCTATAATTGCGATAATGATAATTCTTTGATTCCCAGCTAGCAAAATTCATGTGGCTCAAATCCGGCCCACACCAGACACTTACATCTGGCTAACATATCACATGAAATGACTGCACTTGGGCAGTCTGCTCCTGTTTGCCAGATCTGGGCCTCAGTTAAACCATAGCAATATCACATATCAGCCAGAATTCAACCAAATTAACCAGAATTGACATTATTCTGGGCCACAGTTTGCTTTTATTCTTGCCCAGATCTGGCTTACACCTTACACTTGCTGGGTGTGGCAAAGTACAAAACTCCCAGTATGCATTGCAGTATGAATATATTATATAGCTTTATGAGGCTACAGTTATTATTATTTGCTGTTGATTTAGCTGTTTATGTTAACATTTTTGAATTTGTCACTTTTAGAATCTTGTTTGTGATGTTTGTGAGTTTTGTTCATTTTGTTAATTGCCACCGTTGTTGAGGTTCATATGTTGATTATTGATGTCTCTGTGAGCAGAAATTGAACCATGAAACTTTTTTAGCTTATAAACCTTCATAATTCTGTGGCATGTGCAAGCATGTTATTATGTTACTTCTAATAATAGATTAAACATTGATTAACACCAGTTGATTATATTATTTCATCGAAGGTTGTGCCTCACTTAATTGTATTGTTTTTTTGTTTTGTTTTTTTCTCTTTCTTTTTTTTTTTTTTTTGGCTTGTTTGCTGTAATGAATAAAATTTCTTAAGCAAAGTTCTTAAAAGTTACAGCAGCCCAAAAGAAAATGTATCTTAAGAGTTTTAAGGCTATGAGTTCAACTAAAGCAAACACTTTCTCCATGGTGGGAGACTTTAGTCTATGTGGTCCACATAAAAGATAACATTTAACACATTTAAGATAACTGGTTCACATTTTCCATATCTTCTCTGGGTCACTATAAGCTAACGGCTGCATTAGCCAGAGTTTACTGTGCCGAATATTTGCCAAACTGGCCCACATTTGTTTTAAAAAAACTGGACCACATTTGCCATATTTTCTCTGGGCCACATTAGGCTAACAGCCGCAATAGCGAGAGCTTACTGAGCCAAATATTTGCCAAAAGTGGCCCACATGTGTCTTAAAATAACTGGGCAACATTTGCACTTACACGGGTGAGCCACTTTAGGTTTAGACCCAGATTACCCTTAAATGACAATGCCACAATTTTGCCAACTGTGGCCCACATTTGTCCTCCATCATTTGGGCCAAATTAATCATTTTCCACATGGGCCACATTAAGCTCACATTTAGACTACATTTTGCAATAAGTGCCAAATTGTTGCCTTAAATGGCCTATAACTGCCTAAAGTGGCCCACATTCATATGCTATCTGGGTTTATTGTGCAGTACTAATCAGGAGCACATTTTATTTAACACAGTTCATTCACACATATTTCGTCACACCATGGTAACATATTATTTCTCTTCTTCATTGTAATAACATCAAATGCAGGGTTCTTCCTATTATGTCTTGTTTTTTAGTATGTTTTAATACTTTAACTGGAAAAAAGTAAAAAAAATAAAATAAAAATAAAAAAAGACAGATTAAGAAAATGCTTTTTTTGCAGGGCATTCAGAATTTGGTCTGTTGTTTGGCACAATGTGTGAAGCATGCTCCAGGGAGCGGGCTCAGCAGATGGGTTGTGTATTAGAAACAGATTTTCCATCCACAAGCTAGTTGGGACATGCTTTAAATCAAGGACTCTGACCTCGACATTCCCCGCAAGAGAGGCTGCGAGTTTACCAACATCGACCTCAGAAGAGCTCTTACAAGCTCTCAGCTCACTTTTAAAAGAATCTGAGAGGAAACAGTCCAGCTGCCATTAAAAGCCAGTGTCATGGCATCCTCAATCTGTAAAGGGTTTAAATGTTGTGACCATCCTTTGGTGTGAACATGCTTTTTTTCAATTTATAAATTTGCTTTTATTAACCAAGAACACTCAACTCACCCCAGAGCCTGCGGTTTTGCATTCTCGCAGTTATGTTGATTCCATCGTTCTGAGACACGCCGTCTGCTAACGCTTCACTGAGGGCTTTTGCATATAGCACAAAACCATCATGGAAACAGCCAGCAATAAAATCCATCTGAGGAATAGCAGAACAGAGATTTCTTACAGGGGAACATCAAGAAATCGAAAACTGCACATCAATCTGCACAGCCATGCAGGGAGTAGGGTAAAGCATGCCAGCGGTCCTCTAGGGATGAAGAAATGAGGTGATGTCAAACCAAAATGGCTGCCTATTGATGAAAACTGTAATTTAATTAATTATTAATTTGCCAGACCTAATTTAAAGATTTTCTTATCAACTAAATTCATGACAAAGAAATATGCTTGTCTAAATCTAGTGCCACTGCTTGCTCTATATTTAATATAAGGGTTTATTATACAACACACACTTTATATATATATATATATAGTGGCCTTCATCATCCGTAAGTGGAAGATGTTTGGAACCACCAGGACTCATTGGATGTTTGGAGAAAACCAGGCACCGCACAGCACCAGGCTAATATCATCACTACAGTTAAGCATGGTGGTGGCACATCATGCTGTGGGGATGTTTTTCAGTGGCAGAAACTGGAAGACTAGTCAGAATAGAGGGAAAGATGAATGCAGCAATGTAAAAAGACATCCTAAATGAAAACCTGCTTCAGAGTACTCTTGATCTCAACTGGGGCAACTATTCATCTTCCAGCAGGACAATGATCCAAAGCACACCGCCAAAATATCAATCAAATCAAGTGGCTTCACAACAACTCTGTGAATGTCCTTGAGTGGCCCAGCCAGGGCCCAAACCTAAATATTATTGAACATCTCTGGGGAGATCAAAAAAGGACTGTACACTGTCGCTTCCCATCCAAACGGATAGAGCTTGAGAGGTACTGCAAAGAGGAATGGGCAAAATTTCTAAAGACAGGTGTGCCAAGCTTGAGGCTGTAATTGATGCCAAAGGTGCATCAACAAATATTGAGCAAAGGCTGTAAATACTTATCTACATGTGATTTTTCAGGTTTTTTTTATTTTTAATAAATTTGCAACAATTTCAAAAAAAAACAAAATTCACATTTTCATTATGGGGTATTGTGTAAAGTATTTTGAGGAAATAAATCAATTTAATCTATTTTGGAATAAGGCTGTAACATAAAAAAAAATGCTGAAAAAGTGAAGCGCTATTAATACTTTCCGGATGCACTGTAAATAGTGTTTAAATAGATTTTGGAGCAACTGTACACATACATAATGTATAATGAACAACAGGTTGGAAAGTAATATATTTAGTCTAAGCATACTTTTCATTTATACATTTGTCTTAATTGCAATCACTTTAGTAGGTACTCAAAGGAATGTGTGTGGATCTAGCATTTCAGGGAGTTGTTTCCTACTTTAGTCAAAGTTTACAACTGATTCAGGAAAGTAGGACTGACACGAGGAAGCCAAACTTATGATTCAAGCGCTTTTAAGTGTCATATCTAATTTTGTGGTAAAGGAAACACAGTTTAGCTCCTGAAAGCCTATAGAGCTGAACAGAATGTTCAATATTTTCAAGACAGTAATAAAAAGCCAAAAGAACTACGCTAGTTTGTACAAATGTTCTGATTAAATCTGATGTGACAGATGGCTATGCATAAATGCCAAAATCTGCTCTTGTTTATGAGCAACTCACCATCGAGGGTTCCAATTGTACATTAAAGTCTTGTATTGCTCTTTTGTGGAGTTCTTTGCGGAAAGCGGTATACTCAGGGCTGTCTGGCTCCTGGTATGTTACAACGAACACAGACTAGAGAGATGGAGAGAGAACACAACACAATCTTCTTAAACCAAATCACTAAAATGTTGCAAAACTATTTAAGATACTCAGATATAGTCATTCTATTTACATATATTTGCTTACAAAAAGAGATGGTTAAATATAATACAAATTGTGTCATTATATACTTACCTTAACACTGTTTTAATCCCATTTGATTAAATGACTTGTATATTTAGCAAATTTCACACTTAGGGCTCTATTTTCACGGCCCATGCGCAGAGCGCAAAACGCAGGGCGCAAACGCTTTCAGGGCGTGTCAGAACGCATTTTTGCTACTTTAAGGACGGGAACATCCGCTTTGCGCCGTGGCGCATGGTCTAAAAGGGTTGAGTTTATTTTCTTAATGAGTTATAGGTGTGTTTTGAGAATAAACCAATCACAGTCTTATCTCCCATTACCTTTAAGAGCCAGCTGCGTTTGCTATTAACATGACGTAAAGTAAGTTCACTTTCGCTTTTGCTCTCGTGGATAGAGAAACCTTACCGCACAGACATCAATTAGCTTATAAATAATTAATTTTGTTTGTTAAGCGCAAAGATTTGTTTCAAAACTATTTCTAAATTCAGTTCTAATTTCCAGCAAACGAATAAATGAACAATAATAACAAGTGTGGTCAAAATACTGAGTTATTTCCAAATACACCTGCCATGCCCCATTTGGTCTAAAACCTGACAGGTGGGCAAACTAAGCGTGTTTTTAATAAAACAAATATAAATATGGATATAATAAATAATACTGCTAATAATAATAACATTATACAAAAGCAAATTGAATGAACTGAAAAAGTCTCTCGAGATGAAGAAAGTAAGGCAGTGGTTTTTAAATTCATGTAGGCTAGAAATTAATATGTTTTGTAATATTTTAATCATTTATATTTATATCCTATATATATATATATATATATATATATATATATATATATATATATATGTGTGTGTGTGTGTGTGTGTGTGTGTGTGTGTGTGTGTGTGTGTGTGTGTGTGTGTGTGTGTGTATATATATATATATATATATATATGTATATATATATATATATATATCCTTATTATATATATCCTTAATATATTATATTTTTTATATGTAAAGATAATTGCGTATTGCTCTGCATCTTGTTTGTAGTGTGTAAGCCAGGCGCACTTTGCGCCAGACAATAGACCGACTTTGTTCTGGTCTAAAGAGCAGACTATTACAGTTTCTCAAAATAGCAACGCGCCAAAGCACGCCTGCTTTTTTAGACCAGAACGCCTATGGGCGCACATATGAGCGCAAATGCATTTGCTATTTAAACAGTGCGGCGCAACACCTCAAAAAGACTATTGCGCTGCGCCTTGCGCCACATTGCGCCGGGTGTATGTTAGCAGTTAGGTCAAACATATATAAGTCAAACAGATATTTCATGGCACCTTATTTTTTTTTAAGTCCTATCCTGCTGATGAATTTGCCCTCTCCTGTGGTTTGTATTGTAATGGGCAGCACAAATGTCTTTATACGTCAGCCTGTTGATGTTGCTATCCACTCTGCAGATCTCTTAAATGCCCCCTTACTTAATATATTCTCCCACACCATGATTTTTTCTTTGCCAAACTTGGCTGATTTCTGAGAGAATCTAGGATAGGTTCCTGTAGGTCTTCTCCAGTATTTGTTATGATTGAGATGATTGTGATGACAGTTCAACAGACGATTCATCAGGGGAAGTTAACTTCTGCCACTTTTTCAAATGATTAACTAGAAATTAAGTTATTATTTGTTGCTCTTACAATCGACAACAAGACTATTGTCAGGTAAGTGTACAAACAAACAAATATTTATAATGTTTTTCACAATATACATGATTAAACTTAATTAACTAATATTCAAATGTATGTCATTGTTGGTTTTATACGTAATTTATTTCATTCTCTTATAACAAAGAACAAAAAATGTACATTTGAATCATTATGCACAACTTTAACCAATTAAAGAACCAATAAAACATCTGTATTGTATCCAGAAAACACGTTATAACTTGCTGATCACTTTAAGATCTTGTGTAATACCTATTAAACTGCCAAAAGGAACAACTCCAAATCAAGTTTAAAGGCTCTCTCTAAATGGTCCCTGAGCCATTTGACTCAATTATCTGTCAATAAAGAAATTTTAAAGACTGAATTTAACAGCTTGATAAGACAGGATATATTTAATGGCACAAAGAGACTTTGACGAAAACTTTAAAGACGGTAGAAGAAAAGCAAAATGACAAAAAGTATTTTGACAGTTAAATCAAATTAAAAATACCAAACAACATTTATTTTTATTTTCTGTAAATTAATATTACTTTTTGCAAGTATTATAATTTATTATTTTAATAACAGTAAAAGTAATTATAATGTGCTAAAATAATATTAATTTAAGATTGCTTTTATTTATTTAAAAAATCGTAACCGAGTTTTATATGTGCACCGAGTCTTTATATATAAAATGTTTCCTGTTGCTGCATTAATCAGCCTTTTAAGAATTACTTTAAAAGCAGACACACACACACACACACACACACACACACTCATTTAAGTAAGTGGAAGCTTAATGGATTATTCACAATCAAAGCATCGAGGAAGACTTTTTAGCTAAGTGAATATTAGCCAAATTAACAAAACCTGTCAAAACAAGAAGTACATTAACATCAAGAAAATTGAAATCATATGAATGCTTAAATTACAATGGATGTTAGAAAACAAGTCAAAGAATTTAGCAACTGCTGAACGTGAAAGAAAAACAGAACCTACATCAGTTCTAATGTAATGGATGAAGCTCATTTGTTATTATGTAAATTTATAAGGATACCTGAAATAGCTTGATGGGGTCATTCCACTGGATATCTGAACCCTGCCAGGGCATTGGAACATCACCACTTAAACTCTCTGCAAACACGTCAAGGTAAAAGATGGCGTAGTCCTCTGGGCTCTTCACTTCATCCTCAAAGAGCTTCATTATTTGGAAGAACGTCGGTAGAGGGCCGCATATATACACAACTATGGTGGAATAAAAAAGATACAAAAACTTTAGACACAAGCTAACTTTTTACAATTTCTAATGAAAAATACAAATCAGCACCTTAGAATTATAGGGTTCTCTCTGACATTTTTGTCAAAATGTAGTTATTGATATATTCTTATTAAATACCAACTCATTTACATTATGGCAAGTTGTTTATATTTTAAGACTTAATATTTAAACAAAAAATGTTACACACGTAGTGTTTGCTATATGGAATGCAAAAACTTGGAAGCTCAATATCTCAAAATCATTCAGAACGCAGATAGAACCTTTTGATTCCAAGGTGACAAATTGTCGTTCTTATGATACTGTGATGAACTCTGATGAACAGGTGTTTAACCTGTTAACTGTCATGTCCATTTTTGAGTGAAAGCCTGCAAAGATAATACATTTAAAATTGAAATTAATTTAATTCTAGAACATTTGAAATAAAAGTCATAAAACTAAATGCGTAAATTCGAAACCCTGAAAATAAAATGTGTTGTTTTGTGATGATGATGATGATGATGATGATGAGGACGATTACTAAAGATTATTTAGTTAGCACTTTACATATTCATTTTCAATCATATTCTCAATACTTGGAGTAAATAAATTCTCAGTTGGCGGTAACACTTTATTTTGATGGTCCATGAGTATCAATAGACTGTGTGCTTAATATCTGCTGACACTGCTTATTCAACAGACATTTAACTGACTAGAAACATTGCAAGTACATGACAATTTACACTAATCCTAACCCCAACCCTAGCCCTAACCTAACAGTCCACTTATAATCTAATGAGAATTAGATGGCATGTAAATGCAATGTAACTTAAATTCAACAAATGGATCATCAAAAAGTGTGTGACTGTTAAACTGTAACATTAAATCCTGGATGTTTGAGGCATGTATGTGTGGGGAAGAAAAATCTTTTCAGATTAATCTGTATTTGTTGTACTTTGTGTTTAACTTGGCAAAAAGTAATAAACAATGCAACAAATAATAATAAAAACACAAACTCTTATTTTACAATGATTAAAAAACATTAGGAAACAAAATACCTCAACCTGTTTACAATTTTCAATTTTGCACTGCAAAACCCCATGAATGTGAGGTTCAGGGCAGCATGATAAGAAAAAAACTGCAGAATATTGCAATATGCATATAGTTTCCACTGATGATTGAATAGCTCTATTCAGGAAAATAAATATATTTCATTATATATATATATATATATATATATATATATATTATTATTGTTAATAGTAAAAGCAATAATGACTCAATATATACAGGATATATACTATATATGTACGGTTGAAGTAAGAATTAGCCCCACTTAGAATTTTTTTTCGTTTATTAAGTATTTCCCAATTGATGTATAACTTAGCAAGAAAATTTTCACAGCATGTCTGAAAATATTTATTCTCCTAGAGTATTCATTTTCTTGTCGGCCTTGTCCCTTTATTAATCCGGGGTCGCCACAAGCGGACTTAACCGCCAACTGCAAGTTTTTACGCAGCGGATGCCCTTCCAGCTGCAACCCATCTCTGGGAAACATCCACACACACACTCATACACTACAGATATTTTTAGCCTACCCAATTCACCTGTACCACATGTCTTTGGACTGTGTGGGAAACTGGAGCACCCGGAGGAAACCCACGCGAAGACAGGGAGAACATGCAAACTCCACACAGAAACGCCAACTGAGCCGAGGTTCGAACCAGCGACCTTCTTGCTGTGAGGCGACAGCACTACCTACTGCGCCATGCCTCGCCCTCTCCTAGAGTAAGTCTTGTTTATTTCGACAAGAAAAAAAAGCAGTTTTAATAATGAAAAAAAAAAAGAATATCTTAAGGTCAAATTTATTAGCCCTTTAAGCTATATATCTTTCGATAGTGTACAGAGCAAACAGTCATTATACAACAACTTGCCTTATAACCCTAACCTGCCTAGTTAACCTAGTTAAGCTTTATATATATATATATATATATATATATATATATATAAAATGGCCTTCATCATCCGTAAGTGGAAGATGTTTGGAACCACCAGGACTCATTGGATGTTTGGAGAAAACCAGGCACCGCACATCACCAGGCTAATATCATCACTACAGTTAAGCATGGTGGTGGCACATCATGCTGTGGGGATGTTTTTCAGCGCCAGAAACTGGAAGACTAGTCAGAATAGAGGGAAAGATGAATGCAGCAATGTAATAAGACATCCTAAATAAAAACCTGCTTCAGAGTACTCTTGATCTCAACTGGGGCAACTATTCATCTTCCAGCAGGACAATGACCCAAAACGCACTGCCAAAATATTAATCAAGTGGCTTCACAACAACTCTGTGAATGTCCTTAAGTGGCCCAGCCAGAGCCCAAAACTAAATCCTATTGAACATCTCTGGGGAGATCAAAAAATGACTGTACACTGTCGCTTCCCATCCAAACTGATAGAGCTTGAGAGGTACTGCAAAGATGAATGGGCAAAATTCCTAAAGACATGTGTGCCAAGCTTGTGGCATCATATTCAAAAAGACTTGAGGCTGTAATTGATGCCAAAGGTGCATCAACAAATATTGAGCAAAGGCTGTAAATACTTATGTACTTATGTGTTTTTTTTTTTTTTTTTTCCATTTATTCATTTTCTTTTTGGCTTAGTCCGTTTATTAATCTCGGGTCACCACAGCAGAATAAACCACCGTAAAAAACTTTTGAGCTACTTTTTAATACCTTCTTGAGGCTGATCTCTTAGAACTTGTTTTTTTTTTATGAGAGGAACTCTGCAATTAACAACACACTGTATAACATTCACTTACCTTTTAAAACACATAACACATCAAAAAAATATTTTAGGATGATGTTATCTTCTAAGAACTTCCTGACCGCAGAGCTCTACGTGCCATATTAACAGATTATTGAAAGTTTTAAGCAATGTGTTTGATACTATTTGTCTTAAGTAAAATCACTGTGCATTGTGACTATAATCAGCTATTCTTTTACTTTGATACATCAAAAATAATGAACACATTCCCTCATTGACTGCCTGGTTCATGTGGTGACTTTCGTTTTAATTCAGCAAATAATTTTTTTAAAGCCAATTAATTAAACGAAGAAGTAACTCAAATATTATTACTTAATTTTTAAGTAATGTGTTACATTACTCATAACTCATTAATACTCATAATTTGATAACCCCAACACTTGTCATAACTATATCCCTGACTCACTGCAGATCCTGCAATGTGACTATTGCAGATGCACACATCATGATATCGATGCCGAAACAATATCTTGTGCTGCCCTAAAAAAATATCGCCATAAAAGAAAAATACGATAAAAACACACTGAAAGCAGAACTGAGAAAGATTTTTGGGTTGCTGCACAGGATTGAGGTGTACTCTTTCTTTCTGCATGGCACAGCATTGGTGTGCACATGAAATCTTCTGCATATGTGTGTATGTTTTCCTTGGCATCTACGCTTTTGGCCATTATTTCCATTAGCCGTGTCTTCGAGCGTAGCTTTTGCCAGCTCAGGGACCAGACTCTAAGTTAGCAGACATTTCCGTGTTAGACCAAAGCCTGCCCCGTCTGCCTCTCAGCCCCCAAATCCTCAGCTCTTCCAGCCTAGCACAGACAAACTCATGCCAAGTAGTCCTGCAGTCTCCTGGACATGCTCCAAGACAAATGTGCAAAAAAGACAGGGAAAATGTTCAGCGGTGTTTTTATTTATAAGGATCTGCATGAGCCTGGCTGATACACAAAGCCCATGAAAACTGCTTGGGAATATTTTCTATGACGAGGCTCTCAATTGTGCTTGTGCTATTTTGCAATTTGTTGCATGTTTGCGCCAAGTCATTTTGTTAGTCATTTGCTTTGTGAACCGCACAAAACATGCTCAGCTGTGGGTTGTTTATTCGTAAGTGTCACGACTGGTGAATGATACTCATGCTTTTGTCTCTTTGAAAGTAATTGATATCAATTGAAGAAAATAAAGATGTTTTATCGATTCCCTCTTTCTTCTCAGACAGCCTCATCTGCCGTGAGTCACTTTTTCAAAAGGGCTATGTAGTTTCGTAACTGCTGTCTTTTCAGGAACAAAACATGCTGCTCTATTGTTTGTGCTTTGGTTGTTTATAAAGCATGTGGTGCTATAGATTTTTCAAAAGTTTGAGAGAAACTTTTTTCGCATCACACCTTACTTTAATGTACTTTCAATCATCTGAGAGGCAAAAATATGTCAAGTTGAAAGTCATTTTTTACATCTAACTTGTTTAGACATGTTTTGAAAAAACACATTTAAATTCATTCATTTTACTTGTAATCATCCCTGTATTCATCAGGGGTCAGAGTGGAATGAACTTTTCCATCATTTGTTGTATGCAGCGAATGCCCTTCCAGCCACAACCCAGTACTGGGAAACACCCATACACACTCATTCACACGCATACACCACGGACAATTTAGTTTATTCAATTCACCTATAACGCATGTGTTTGGGCTGTGGGGGAAACCGGAGCACTGAAGGTAACCCACGCAAACATGGGGAGAACATGCAAACTCTACACAGAAATACCAACTGGCCCAGCCGGGACTCAAACCAGGAACCTTCTTGCTCTGAGGCGACAGTGCTAACCACTGCATTTAAATTATGTTTTAAATACAGAATACTTAATAATTTAGGTTTTAACAATTAAATAAATTAGCCAGCGGCCAGCTGAGAAATTAAAATGGTCGTGCCCAACTGAGTCTGGTTCTCTCAAGGTTTTTTTTCTTCACTCCCATCAGGTGAAGTTTTTTTTCCCTCTCCGCTGTCGCCACTGCCTCGCATGGTTCAGGATTGGTAGAACTACGCATCGATGAATTTGCTCTTCAGTGTTTGAACTCTCAGTAATGATTAAATCACAATGAACTGAGCTAAACTGAACTGAACTGAACTTAAACACTAAAACCTGAACCACACTGTTCCAGTTACTATGACCATTTAT